AATTGTTGGATTGTATACCTGGATTATTGAGCATGGACTATTTTGAGATCGCACTGTGTTAAAAGTCAATGGAAACAGATGAGTTTTTAGCAGAGATTTAAAGCAGGAAGTGAAGTAGCCCGTCTAATGGTAGGGGGCAGATTGGTCTAAAGTTTAGAGCCCATGACTGAAAAAGCCCGATCTCCTCTGAGCTTCAACAAAAAGCAGCTGATCAGATGATCTCCGGGCCCAAGAAGGAAGGTTCCGATAGCTCAGAGAGATATGAGGGTGCAAGGCCATTTATGCACTTTAAGTTAGCAGGAGAATTTGTAAATCAATTCTGGGACATACAGGGAGCCAGTGAAGGGAGGACAAAACTGGTGTAACATGTTCAAACCTACGAGTTCCTGGTAAAAGCCGAGCTGCAGCATTTTGGACGAGTTGGAGACGTGAAATGGAGACCGGACTGACCCCAACATAGAGTGCATTACAGTAGTCCAGTCAGGTAGTGAAAAAGGCACAGACTCGTTTTCAGATCTGGTCAACACTGACTTAAGCTTAGCTATCTGCCTTAACTGGAAGAAACTTTTCTGCAGAACAAAATTAACTTGTTTATTAAACTTAAAGTCAGAGTCTAAAACCATCCCAAGACTTGAAACAGACTGTTTAAGATAACGCTGAAGGGAGACGGCGATAGAGCTAGGGCTAAACACAATCACTTCAGTTTTCTGGTCATTAAAGCAAAAAAAAAAAAAAAATCAGGCATCCAAACCTTGACGTCATCAAGACATTTCATCATAGGATGAATGGAGCAAGAACTATTGGGTTTTAAGGGCAGAGAAAGACCGTGTTTCCTCAGGATAGACCCCAAATGCAGCAGATAGAGTAAAAACAGAATGGGTCCAAGAATCGAGCCCTGTGGGACCCCGCAGGAAAGAGGCACTGAAGTAGATAATATATTACCAACATTAACAAAATCTCCTGTCACTCAGATAGGAATGGAACCGTTCTAATACCGCACCAGAAATCCCAAGCCAGTGTTCTAACCTTGATATAAGGATACTGTGGTCAACAGTGTCAAAAGCAGCAGTAAGGTTCAGGAGTATAAGGATCAAAAACCGACTAGAATCATTTGCTAACAGAATGTTAGCAAAACCCTAACTAAATGAACTAAACTAACTAAACTACCCTAACTAATGTCAATACAAACCCCAACCAGACTGAAAAATCTCAAAAATTCCATTCTTATTCAAAAACTCGTTACGTTGAATAAAAACTACTTTCTCCAGGATTTTAGAAAGAAAAGGAGGTTTTGAGATTGGTCTGAAGTCTGAGCAAGCTGAAGGGTCAAGTCCAGGTTTTATAATCAACGGATTTACTACTGCATGTTTAGAAACATCAGGGGCCACACTTGCTGCTATTTATAATAGCAAGAACAGAGGGTCCGATCGAGGGTAAAACTTCTTTAAGAAATGATGCAGGGATGGGATCAGCGGCGGAGCCTGAGGGTTTCGTATGACCAACATCATTTTAGAATGTGAGAGAAATGGGCTCAAACTGATTGAAGACAGCTGGTCAAAGGGCAAAGACAGAGGCCAGAGGTGGAGCGAGGAATCCATGATTTAACCAACCATCTTGTCAACAATGTATCTGATAAAGTCATTACAAGAAAAATGCCAGTACAAACAGTGCACAGCTCAGCTGTGTTCCCCCCCCCCCCCCCCCCAAACCAACAAAAATCATGGGCGAGATGAGCGCCACGCCATGGCAAGTTATGTTGGGGAAATCCTGCTTTTCAACACGTTTTAAAATCGTTGCTACAACATGGGCTCTTGTTGAGAGCAGGTCTGGTCTTAGAGCCGAGTCGCCTCTCCCTCCAGTTCCCAGAGAAGTAGCCGCCTCCTCGCTGTCTCCATCACGGCAATCTGAAGTGGGAGCAATGGGTCATGGTGGAGACGAAGGCCAGACTTTAGACTGTTTGTGTTTAGAAGCCATAGTCCCAGCTTGTTGGCTCAGATAGGTGACAATGTCAGACTCAGAAAAATAATTCAGAGATTCTTTGTCATGTGGTGGAGCAAAATTATGTTCACAGGATGCCAGTTACATCCAACAATAACATGTTAAAGAAAAACAGTAAAAAGATCTAAGATATGAACTAAGACAAACATCAACTAAATATACGGTAAGCACTAATAGCATAAAAACAATAAACACAATACGCCGAACAGCAGCACAAACATGAGTGTGTGAGCAGAGGAGCACAAATGAACACATCAACATGAAACAGATCAGCAGCAACATGAAACAGATCAGCAGCAACATAAAACAGATCAGCAGCAACACAAAACAGATCAGCAGCAACATAAAAAAAGATCAGCAGCAACACAAAACAGATCAGCAGCAACATAAAACAGATCAGCAGCAACATGAAACTGATCAGCAGCAACATGAAACTGATCAGCAGCAACATGAAACTGATCAGCAGCAACACGAAACTGATCAGCAGCAACATGAAACTGATCAGCAGCAACACGAAACTGATCAGCAGCAACACGAAACTGATCAGCAGCAACATAAAACGGATCAGCAGCAACATAAAACTGATCAGCAGCAACAACAAACTGATAAGCAGCAGCATCAAACTGATAAGCAGCAACATCAAACAGATCAGCAGCAACATGAAACAGATTAGCAGCAACATCAAACAGATCAGCAGTAACATGATGTGATTTTTCACAGTGATTATTCTAGTTAGAGATTCATGAGTCTAACAGCCTCTGGGTAGAAGTTGTTCCTCAGTCTAGTGGTTCTACACTTAATGCTCCTTAACCGCCTTCCTGAGGGGAGTGGGGCACAAAGTGTGTGTGCTGGGTGAGTGTGGTCCTTCATGATGCAGGTGGCCCTCTTCCTGCATCTGGAGGTGTAGATGTCTGTGATGGTGGGGAGGCTGACTCCAACATCTTCTGTGCAGCCTTCACCACTCTCTGCAAAGCTTTTCTTTCCGCAGCTGTGCAGCCTCCATGCCACACGTTGATGCTGGAGCACAGGATGCTCTCCACTGCACACCTGTAGAAGGAGGTGAGGACTGAGCTTCCCAGACCAGCTCGTCTCAGCCGCCTGAGGAAGTAGAGTCTCTGATGAAGTAATCCAGCCCAAAGGTAGTGAAAGTAAAGTTATAAAAATGAGTTTTCCATCAGGCCTGACGGGAGCCATCAGAGACGCAGTCTACTCCACCAGCACCGTCTTGAGTCTCCTGCTTTCCAACACGTTTTTAACATAAAAGAAACCTGTACAGTGTTTACCCTAGATAACTTGACATGGCGGGGCGCTAATCTCATCCGTTATTTTTCTCGGCCGGGGGGGGGAGTTGCGCATTGTTTGTACTGGCAGTTTTCCAGCTGGGGGACGGAGACACAGTTTTTATACTGGTATTTTTCGGGGGGGACAGCTGTGCGCGGTTTATACCGGCAGTTTTCAAGTGCTTGGGGGAGGGGGGTCTAGCGTGAGGGAAGAGCTTTAGCTTTGTAGCTAGCGCGCGTGTATTTCCCACTGCTTAGCGTTATGCCAGTGTCTATATGTGAGGGGGAGGGAGGGGGCGCACCGTTCGGTTCGGTAGGCGGGGTGCTTGGTTCTGTTAGACTCACAGACAAAAAAGGTGTCAAATAAAATAGATTTGTGGTCTGAAAAACACAGTATCCCCAATTGCTAAATAAAACGGATCAAGCAAATGATAAAACTAAATGAAGTGTGTGGCCCTGCTGATGAGCCGGACCCACAACATTCTGCACAAAGTTCAACGACTGGACAGGATTTAAAAACTCCTGAGCTTATGGCTCATCAGGGCGGCGGACATGGATATATCAAATCTCAACCCTGATGCGTGGAGCCGTCTGCAGTTCCAAAGTTAAACAACTCATATGATGTGATGTTCTGTGTTTGACACATGAAGGAGGAGACGTTTTTATCTTTTCTTGTGTGATGATGACAGCAGAGTCCTGGTGCCCTCAGGTCGTTTGGTCCCGGGACAGTTCTGATCCTGGATACATTTATTCAGGTGTTTGACTTTTACATCGAGTTGTTCCCTCCAGCACCCCCCTCGGGCTCTGTCCCTCAGCTACTTCAGCAGCTCCCGGGAACAGCTGAATCAACAGACCAACCTGGTGGTAAAAACTGCCCCCCACCCCCCAGCTAGTTCAGGTTCTTTACAGAAACGTTGGTCTTTTATTAAAACAGTTCCCATTTCCCGTTCATAGACGGTAAACATGTTGTATGTACCGTAACGTTGTATAGGTGCGGGTGTTGGGGTCAAAGGTCAGGCTTTCCTTATTTAAACTCCGAACATCTCTGAGGTAGAACATCCAACATGTTTATTAGAAACAGTCACAGTAAGACCAGTCCAACTGACCCAATCACTGCTGCTTCCAGAACCTCGTGACCCAGAAGACACACAAACACAGAAAAAAACATCCTTCTCCCAAACTGGTCTAGTTAAAGTCCAAGCAGGGACCTGAGGTCCGGACCCCCTGGCTCACGGCAGAGCCTGGAGTAGGTCCTGTACCCTCTCCAGCAGGGGGGTCAGGACCTGCTTCATGTTGGATATCCAAACAAAGACGACCTCTGGCATGTTAGAACAAAACATCTTCAGGACCTGGTCCCACATGTTGTCCGGATCTGCAACGACACAATCCAAGCAGGGTTTTAGCCACAAACACCAAAACCAGAACGGCTGGTACCAAGAATACATGGAGCACCAACAGGAACCACCCAGAGCCTCCAAGAAAACCACCAACAAACACGTGGAGAGAGTTGCCAACCCTGAGCTGACCAGAGGAGAGAAACATCTCCCCCCTTTAACAGGAAGGAACCGCCACCAGAACCAGGATGGACCCGCTGGGCTCAGAGAGGACAGCACCCTCTACCTCTAATGCCAGAATTTTAGAGCTTGTAGACATTCTGCCCAAAGCATGAAATAACATCTGAAGACGTCGGACTGTGTGTTAGAGACCACCCTCAGCTACTACCACACAAAGGGTTAGGCCTCATCTGTAAATCTGAGCCGGTTCAGACATGTTTGTGTTGGCTGAGGTGGCCATTTTGAAACGGACTGGCTCCAGAAGTAATCATGTGCAAGTGTGGTTCAGGACATGTTCTGCTAACAGACAGAAACTATGTGGCGGCGCGCCTTCTGAACGACGGATGAGAAACGGGAAGATGAAACGGATTCACGAGGGAGTCATCAGAGTCTGATCCTCCAGAGACAGGAAGGACGGTCTGCCGCTCAGAACTGGTTTTACTCGTGCACACGCATTCAGGAAAAACAACGTCCTGATGATGGTGAAAGAGAAACGGGTCAAAATGTACAAACTCTAAATCACCTTTAGTGTCCAACAGGCATGAAGTGTGGTTGCTGCTGTTTATTTAGCATGAACAGCAAATTAGCACTCAGCTAGCTGGGAAGCTAATGCTGAATGCTACAATCAGTCTTCAGCTAGGAGTTGGCTCATTTTAGCTGCTACCTACTGTTAGCTTAAATTAGCTTTGAGCTCCTGTTCTGTCGGTTGTAAGCTTTAGTTACTGCTTGGCTCATTTGAAAAACTCTGTTTCAGATTTTTCACCAGAACCACTTAGTACTGAACCTTTTTCAGAAAATGCTAATTCTGTCCCTGGCAGACGGTTAAAGTAAATTTACAATAAACTCGACCTTTCAGCTCATCGGCGCAGAGGTTCTCTCAGGACCCCACATGGGCTCATGGAACGTGGGAGCTCCAGAAATGTAATCAATTTAAAAAAAAACAAAAATGAAAGAACTTTAAGATTGATGAGGCTCTTTGTTCAAAAGCTTGTTAGCAACGTTTGTATGTTTCTGCGACACAGCGAGGGTCAGAGCCACTGAAGATGTTAGTTTGTGGGTCGGAAGCAAAAAGGTGTCAGAACCACCACTTTCCAACTTCAATATATAAAAATGTGTCTTTATGTTCTGGTTTTGTTTGTGGTGGGCTTACGGTTTGTTTACAGTAAGTAAAAAGAATCCCAGCATTTGGATTAAGTCTCTTTTCAAATAGTTCCAAACCGTAACCCTGAAACAGAACTATATACCGAATCATGTAGGTCACCAGTGAACAGTGACCCCAAAAACAGAGCTGCGTGCTGAATTGGGACCCTCAGATGAACTACGTATGGAACTGTGAAAGTAAAACAGAACTGCATACGAAAGAAACTGTGACCCTAAAACAGAGCTACGTACAAAACCAAGACCCTAAAACAGAGATACGTAATGAAACATGATTCTAATACAGAGCTACGTATCAAACCATGACCATAAAAGAGAGGTAGATACCAAAATGTGACCCTAAAACAAAGCTACATAACGAACCATGACCCTAAAACAGAGCTACGTAATGAATCGTGTCCCTAAAACAGAGCTACAAACTGAAACATGACCCTAATACAGAACTACATACTGAAATGTCACCCTAAAACAGAGCTACGTACAAAACCAAGACCCTAAAACAGAGATACATACTGAACAGTGACACTAAAACAGAAATATGTGCATAGGGCTGAGTACCGAACTTCGGTTCTTTTTTGGTACTGACCGAACTGCTTCGGTCGGTGTATGGATCAAAACATGCCTCTTCTTTCGGTGTCAAGTTTCGGTGATTGGCTGTAACGTGACACGTGGCTTCTGCACGCAGGCAGGTAAAACACAGACATATGGCAAACAGACATACGTGGTTACGCCCAGAGCCGTATAGAGCTCCGTATAGAGCTGCCGTATAGAGCTGCCGTATAGAGCTGCCGTATAGAGCTGCCGTATAGAGCTGCCGTATAGAGCTGCCGTATAGAGCTGCCGTACAGCCATATCTCTATGGCGCTGGTTAAGCCCACAGACGGGGTTCACGTGTATCTGTGTTGTATGACATGGCAACTAGTGTGCAGCGTGTGTCGTCGAACCGCTTCAATGTACGAGCAAAACGTTGCTCCGTGTTTGTCAGCAAGAAAAGTGGACCGCAGCCATCCTCCTCTCAGTCTTTAAGTCAGCCTGAGTGTGTTAGAGCCCGAACGGCCCGATTTAACATCTCCACAACTAGGCCTGTCACAATAACAAATTTTGCTGAGCGATTGTCTCAGAAATTATTGCGATAAATGATAATATTGTTTGAAATTTGACAATAATGAGTAATTATTGTCAAACTTAAGAAGAAATGTTTAATTTGTTTGCATGTAGTACCGTTTTTTGACCAACAGATGGCAGTATAAGACTGTTTGAACCGAAGGATGGATAGTGAGGGAGCAAGCAGCCTGTCTCTTTAAGAAACATGGGAGGGAGGCCCCTTGACGTGACATGGGCCGTCTCTTCGGTTCTCCAAATGGCGGATGTTCGGTGTGGTTTGAGCTCTTTAGCATAGAATTTGTCACACAAAGCTTTTAATAAAAAAATCAGCAAAGTTCTCAGCTTCTTTTTGCAGAGAAAAACAACTTTTTAGACGAAGGCGCGGGTTTCAACTGTGAATTTTGGAGCTTCGACAAGACGGAGGTTTTTTCCCTGAGGTCGACCTGTTAGCTTAGCTCATAGCTTAGCTGCTTTTAACGATCCAAAAACGTGATTTTGGATCGTTAAAATGGATTTTAAAGAGAAAGGTAATAGCACCGGAGCCTTTTGTCATCCAGTGTCCAGTTAAAAAATAAAACTCACAATTTATACTGTAACGTGTAACGTAATTTTATTCTTGTTCTAATTAATATTGTAAAATTGGTACCAGAAAAAGTACCGTTCAGGAACCGATACCAAAGTGAAGGTACTGGTACTTTTAGAAAGGTACCCAGCCCTGCAGTAATCCCTCGCTACTTTGCAGTTCTTTTATTGCGGAATCGCTCTATCGGGGTTTTTCAAAATAAGAGTGGACATGACACACAACTGGCTGATTGACGGATGAGCCACACGATCGGCATGACATTTTTATTTAAAATAAATTATTTTAAATTATTTAGCACGTGCTGTACATTTGTGCAGCCCAGCGCTGCAGAATAAACTTCCTGCTGTTGTGAAACAGCTGATCAGCTGTTGAGCTGCAGAGCGGAGAAGTGGGCGTGGCCAAGAGCGCTTGCAAGTGGCAAAGAGCAGAGGAGGAAGGGAGCTGAAATCATGACCTTCTGTGCTCTTTTAGAACGTTTAGAGCGGGGTGCCCAAACTTTGTCTCTGTAATGGCTGAATTTAAAATCCATCAGAGGCTGCGGCCAAATGCAATAATATAATACATGAAATGTAAATACTTCTTTAAGTAAAGTCCATTTATTTATGATATAGTTATTTATCCTTTCATTTTGTATAAAGAACATTACAGAAGAGGCTGCCTTGGTGGGGGGTCCTCCCCCAGAGAAATCTGAATAAAATAGATGCAATTTCCTGCATTTTGGTGAATTTTACACAACTTTATTAAAGTAGATCAAAATGAAACTAGACATGTAAACTGTGTAATTATTGAAATCTCTGACTGCAAAGCTGCAGCTCTACACGTAAGGGACGTTCACTTCAGGACAAACTGAGGTCGCTGATGGTCAGTTGATGACTGGTCAGTTGCTGAGATGCCTACTGGATTGATTGACAGGTGGAATGACTCATGCAAAATAATGACAGATTTTACTGGCCCGTTTGAGACTGTTGTCACTTATTCCAGTTCTTTTTTACCATTTACCCTTTATATATATATACACAGGTAGTCTCAATGAGCCACGAGAACTCATTTTCAAGAGAGACCTGTTTAGGGAGCAGATGGGAGTTAAGGGCTTTGCTCAAGGGCCAAGAGTGGGGCGAATGAGGGTGGGGGCAGGTGTGGGTGCTTGACAAACCCCACCCACATTTTTGATGTTATCGGGACCTGGGCTTGAACTGGCGATCTTCCGATCACAGGCCCACCTTCTCTAACGGCTGTGCCACCACTCCCAATTTACCAAACCATGACCCTAAAACAGAGCAACATACTGAACAGTGATACTAAAACAGAGCAACATACTGAACAGTGATACTAAAACAGAGCAACATACTGAACAGTGATACTAAAACAGAGCAACATACTGAACTGTGACACTAAAACAGAGCTACGTACTGAACTGTCACACTAAAAAAGAGCAACGTACTGAACTGTCACACTAAAACAGAGCAACGTACTGAACTGTGACACTAAAACAGAGCAACGTACTGAACTGTGACACTAAAATAGTGCAACGTACTGAACTGTGACACTAAAAAAGAGCAACGTACTGAACTGTGACACTAAAACAGAGCAACGTACTGAACTGTGACACTAAAATAGTGCAACGTACTGAACTGTGACACTAAAAAAGAGCAACGTACTGAACTGTGACACTAAAACAGAGCAACGTACTGAACTGTGACACTAAAACAGAGCAAAAAACTGAACTGTGACACTAAAAAAGAGCAACGTACTGAACTGTGACACTAAAAAAGAGCAACGTACTGAACTGTGACACTAAAACAGAGCAAAAAACTGAACTGTGACACTAAAATAGTGCAACGTACTGAACTGTGACACTAAAACAGCAAAAAACTGAACTGTGACACTAAAACAGAGCAACGTACTGAACTGTGACACTAAAACAAAGCAACATACTGAACTGTGATAA